ATTATTAGCTACATAATCTGGCTCAACATCATATACATGCATGCGTGGGGCCCAGCCTATTATCCTAGGTGAACAGCTGCAGAGCTGCCCAAAGGCAATGAGACGGGAGCCAAGGTGCCTTGGGTTTACCTGCAGAATATCATCCAACTTGATGAATGAAAGCCGATACTATGCAGTTTGTAACACCACGATGAGGATGTTGATAGTGCAGTGAGGAGATATTCTATCTTGAGGTGGAGCAGTTGTGAGTTGTCAATCAACAGTTTGTGGTAACCAACGGCCACACTTGCACGACAACTGGTGATTCTGAGTGTAACTGCAGAATCTGACGACATAGCATTGATTGAGTAGTACGAGTGAGACTACTCAGTGTTCCTCGCACAACAATTAGAGATTAAGGACGAACTTGACGTCCTGCGCGCAGGAAACCACCTCTGTGATGTGAGATAAGGTACTTGGCACAAATCTCGGTTGTTAGCCTCTGGAATGAAGGATGGTGATAGTTTATCTTTTTGGTTTCATTTCTCATAGCTGCGTGACCAGTTTATGGCCACTAATACGGATTGCACCGGATTGATCCTTAGCCGGTGCAGGTGAACACAAACTCAGCCCCTCGTAACTATACGACAGATCGACGTGGCCACGACGTTTTGATAGTGCGCACGCATGATGGTCTATAGGCCACGAAAGATGAGACCAGATGTTACAGAGGAGGGATTAATTAGGAATTCCGCATTCCTTGCGTCCCCGCGGCTCATGGCGGGGATGATCGGCTCGGAGATGTTGTGGAGGTGAAGCGGAGTGTCGGGGGCCGATCTGCATGTTCTCGGCCAGCCAGATCAAAGGTGAAAAGAGAGAAACAACACGATAAGCGGCAGTATTGATTGAAGCCTCCTTAATTAGAATCCGGATCGAGGAATGGAGACGTTTCTTCCTCAGTGTTTGGTCAAAATCTTCACCGCCGAAGATTGTTCCCTGCTCTGATGAGCGACAAAATCTACCCCTGCGTCAAAAATGGTCTGATGGCAACAGAGTTGCCAATAGCCGGCGCATCGAATCCATCGACTGTGGAACTACCGGGAGATACGATGCGGCTACTACGGACAACTACCAACTATGGCTACAGTTAACTCGTAGCGTTGGCCAGACCCAATCGTGAACAACATGCCATTTGCCTTGATAACCTGTTTGGCCCTGCAGAGTCTGTAATCAACATGAACCCGATCATTGGATGAGCCGATTAAGTGTTGGCGCGCGCTTTGTTCTCAAACATCCTGACTCGTGCTATTATGTTGAGAAACAAAACTAGTTAATCCGCATGAATTATCAGAGACGCCGCCGCTACACCACGCATCATCGATTCTCCGGGAATAGGGCCGTAGATCCATCTGGGACTAGACTCGATATAGAGACATACCAAAGGGGGCACTACCACAATATGAGACGTGCACACGGAGAATAGCCAGGGTGTTGAAGAGAACCCTGGTTGTAGCATCAAATGCGGTCAACACTTCAAGAGTCAGCTAAGGAAGCTGTATCAGGGGGGAGTCAGAGGTTGATACGGAGCATGTCAGCTTACATTCCCTCGACTTCATGAGATTCGAAATCTTAGCCTTAGTGTTAGATATTGTCTCATCCCACTCTCTCGAGGGAGCTTCTGACATCACTGCCCACCTTCTAGCATGAACGTGCGTTGCGGTCTGTCCGCAGGTCGCAGAAAAGACAGTGCGCCATGTCTTAAAGCCTCGTGTTACTGCTGAGCTTGAGAAACATTACACAGAGACACCATATGGTCTTAGCTTCATTACTCCGGAGAGGCTGGCCAGCGTTCTTTACGTGGCTGACAAGACACAACATCAGGCTGTGCATTGCCCTGATACACTTGTATCGCCGGCAGTTCCTTGTCTCCTCCATGATCGATATATCTATGTATGCACGCCTAACGCGGGAGATGCCCAGGCTAGATCAAGATCGCTGATAGCCTGAAGTGGACTTCTCGCTCGCCCTGATGCTTTACATACTTGTCGTGCAGAATTCACTAGTTGAGACACTAAATAGGAACCAAGCTTGTAAGGCTCCTGATCTTGTTTGCTATCAATGCAATTGACCACTGGATCGACGATTGACGATTCTCTGCTTTCAGCATTGTGATGTTATGCCTTCGCCAATGCAAGCCTGGGGTAGCCTTGTCAGTTGAGGAAGCATGGTATGCGTCAAAACACTATTGAAAGCCTAATGAGCGAAATATCGACATCAATTGAGCTGTACCCAACATCAATTACTCATTCTCATCTCAATTATAGCGACTTCATCAGCCCAGCCCGACATTGCATGTGGAAGCAACATGCATAGAGATCAATGGACACTGATGGACGCTCTTAATCGTGATCAACCACATTAGCTAGATATCCGCAAATAAACGACGTATCATGAGGTTGAATGGGAACTGAAAAGCTGACGAACGATTTGCCGCATTTAACACAGGTTCGCGGGACATATCGTGCATCTTCCGAGAGCATCATAAACCAGATTCTGCTGAATGCCGGTTATCTATTGGCTGTGATGGCCTGAATGGATATGTTTCTGCACTGATCCCGGACGTGTTCGCTGGCAATCACGAGTACACCAGACAGCCAAGCGGATGGGGTGTTTGAGGGGATCGACGGCTTAACTAAACCAGCCAGCCCTTGTAAGACCCTGAGGTGGAGTCCGGGTCTTGGTCTTGAAGGGTTAGTGTTTCGGCGAAGCTGGCGCTGGGCTTGTTCTCTTGTAAACTGTGAGGCCATGTCCATGGCAAGGGTTGTGAAGCATTCAATGGCTCTCGGCCCATTGCCTAGATTGCTAAAAGTTTGATGGTTGGTGAGATGGCTGAAGATGATCCATCTTGGAGTTTTACCATCCAAATGATCATCCAATGCTTTGTGGCAACTTTCTTGGTCTGTCAAGCCATTGCGGACTCTCTTCTTCATTCTTTTGGTAAAGGCCGTCAAAATCCCGAGACTCCTCACTCAGACAGTGTAATGCGTGACATGGCTCGGACCGTACAACTCATACCTTAGTACCGGGGGTACAAAGCAAGTCAAACCATCGCACGTGCAGGATTATGGTGTAGCATTCCAAGCCTCGAGACATTTCGAAAGGGCCATGCCGCCATGGTTGTGTTACCGTCAGCATGTGGCTTACCGCCGTATTGTTCATCCTATACAGGTTGAGAATGACCTGCAGGCCTCGGCGATGTCTTCAGATTTCACTTGATCTCGGAGTGGGCGAGCGGCGAGTTCTGCTGTGCTGTTTACATAGGCTATAGCAGAACTGCAACTGCACCACATAGTAGCAGACGAGATGCACGACGTGCAGGCAAACGGGATAGGTAATAATATGCAGAGGACATGAAGTGAAGGGGATTGGCCAGATGGGCATTTCGTGATATGTGAATCCTACTGGTGCTTATCTCGTCATTGCCACGATAAACCCATTTGCTTGCAGTGCAGCAATGCAACCACCACCACCAATGCTGTACTGTAACCATGCTTTGCTGCAAGGTGAGCTGGTGGGAAGGCAAAGGATGACAGATTATCTAGTTTGTGGACAGTCTGAGAGCACACTGTGTTCCGGCCAAAAACCAGTCGGAACGAAGCTACTGAAGTGCCAAATGCACTGTATGATATCCGGTCCGGGCCCTTTTTTGACACTCGAAGGGCATCGGTGGGGTGGCCTCAATTCATACAAGGTTGGGACTAGACAAATAAGATGGCGCAAGTCGAGCAGATCTGAATCTTATCACGACATTGACTAATAAACAGCCTCATCTTTGGATCACAGTGATCACAGAGAGCTCAGATGATATCGATATTGGAAATTTCGTATCGATCAAGTAGAATCGTAGGCCAGTCACCATCTCAGGAACATAGACAGCTGGGTACCTGGATTTCATGCACGATTTATGGCCACAATGGATCTGCTGGCACAACAGACCCGCTACCTATCGTGATTCTCTGACAAGCGGGCAGCCAAGTGAAAAATAGTATGCCATGGCCTATAAGCTACTATCCCGGTGGGGGGAGAATGGCTGGATTATGGGCCCTCTGGGTCCTGACTAGGGCCTTGATCACTGGCGATAGGTTGAGTCTTGATTCATGGGAAGTATATCGAGTTTCGACTGCATCGGGGGCAGAATTCGTGTTACACCATGAGGGAATTGATATGCCATGGATGGTGTTTTATCGCAGAATCAGAGGGCGACATATGGTAGAGCTGAGTGTGGTATAGTTAGACAGTAATCAACAGCATAAACACTGAGATAAGGGTCTGTACTCTGAGATTTTTCACTGAGACTGGCTTTCTGACAACCGAAACCTTGGAGCATGGCTTTCGAGCGATGGCGGCGGCCGCGGCTACTAAGGTGGCTGGCTAGACTCGGCTTGGGGTAAACCTGTTTGTGTTTACATGGCGCCAACGAGGAATTCTTAACAGATGAACCAGGTTCTGTCATGCCATCGATCCCGCTTCCACAATTGGTCAATGTCCAACACCCCAGAAGAGGCGCAGGAGGGTTGCAGCAGCAGAACAGCCAGTACAGTGACCCAAGGGTTCCTGGGGTGTGAGCCTGTGAGGTGCTAGTTAGTAGTCGGGATCCATGCGATCCATAGCGGGTCGTGTGCTCTTCACTGGAGCGGACGCCGCCAGCGGATAGGCTTATGTAGCGTCCCCTCTAGTGGGTGGGCGCCTCCATCTCAGGTGGCTTGGCCATTGGCTGCATGTCCCGACGGCTTCACCGCTTCTTCCCCCATCGACAAACCGCCCACAGCAGCGAGACTAACCCATGATCTACCCGCCGTTGAGCCTTCTCCTCCTTCTCCAGCTGCTCCAAAACCTCAGACCTCCTCCCTTCACCTCAACAAGGGACTTCACGAAAGAGCGGTGTCCTCCGCTTAGTTCCTACAATATTATCGATCATCCGCCTTTTCCCACTCCGCTTCCCTTCTGTTTTTTTGCCCAGAATGACTTACGACTTCAACAACGGCGGGGGTGATGCCTATCTCGACTTGACGACCTTCGATACTCGAAATCGCGCTGCTTACCAAACGTACTCGACTGCCACGACCCATTCGAGTCCTTCGACTGCTTCAAACATCATGCCCCAGGACGCCCGGCACTGGGCTGTTCCCCTCGATATGTCTTCAAACAACTCTCACGGCTATGCCTCGATGAGCCCGGAGGAGCATCAGTCTTCTCCTCCCTCTCAATCAGCCAGTCCTCATAGCCAGCACTCGCCGCTACAACAATCACCTTTTCAGCAAAGTGTGAACCCCTTGACGGATTGGGCCCTTCAGCAACAGCAGCAGCAACAGCAGCACCTCGCTGCTGCTGATATGACCCAGTTCATCCAAGATGCTGCCCTCATGAGCTTCAATGCCTTCCCTACAAACTTCCAGCCGACCAACCCCCTTGATTATCTTCCCGCGACTACACAGGCAGCTCTTCAAGCCAATCTCCTCGAATCGACATTCAACGGACTGCCAATGGACGACCACACACAAGCCGTATGGCCCAACGCCGGAATGGGGGACTGGCAGGAATTCCAGAATACTCTGCAGATGGATGGATTACCTCGTCTTGATAGCGTCGGAAGCAACTCACCTACCGGTACATACCTCGAGGTTCTGTCTCTACCCTCATCCTCGGGTGAGGGCTGGGCCATGGTGGATTGGAATCAGCCCAACTTTGATCAGTTCCAACAAGCTCACGCGCAGGGCGCTGCTATCTTCAACCCTTCCCAGACCCTTCACTTGAGAACCAATTCCGATTCATCCGATGGCGCCAATTCTATGGAGTTTGGAAGCTTCGAGGAGATTGCGCCTTTCCCTTATTCTCCTTTCTCTCCCGAGTCTGACGGCTATGTCGATGCTGGTAACCACCGCAACTGCTTCAGCAATGATGGCCACGCTCATAACCACGCCCACACTCACACACATGTACATGAGCCTGTCGCAACCAACACTGTCGCTACCACCGCTGTCGCCACTGTCGCAACTGTCCCCATCAAGTCTGAACCCTCTTCAAGCCGTCATAGCCCCGGCAGTGGTGCCGGATCTGTATCCCCATCTTCTAGCAGCACTACCCGCCGAAACTCGGGTCCTCGTAAGAGCCCCATTACTAAGAGCACCACCAAGAATGTTGTTCGACGTATTTCCAATGGCAAGAAGGATGGTACTGTTGAGAAGAAGGTTGGCCGCAGAAAGGGACCTCTTCTACCTGAACAGAGAAAGCAGGCTAGTGAGATCAGAAAATTGCGAGCTTGTCTCCGATGCAAATTCCTCAAGAAGACTTGCGATAAGGGTGAGCCCTGTGCTGGTTGCCAGCCTTCTCACGCCCGTCTCTGGCAGGTCCCTTGCACTCGTATCGATATCAAGGATATTGGTTACTTCATGAAGGACTGGAAGGCCGACTACGAGCGACACATGGACCGTGGTGTCTCAGTCTACAATGTCAAGGGTTTCGCCCAGAAGGAGACCCTTATGTGGATCACCCACGGTTACGGTTTCGCGCTCCCCGTTATGGTTCGCGAGGTCTTTGTTGCCGATGATAGCTGCTTCTCGGTTGACTGGGTCGAGTCTACACTTACCGACCAGGAGCCTATTGACTTCGAGACCCGCACTGAGAAGCTTGACGTCGGTGCCGAAGGCATTCGTCTTGATGCACTCTCTGAGTATCTTGATAAGCACATTGATGGTCCTTTCGAAGACTTCATTGACGACCATTTCGAGGGTACACCTTTTATCACCGAAATCCTTAAGACCGCTCACCGCTACTATGTCAAGGAGAAGATGCCTGTTATCCGAAAGTCGCTTAAGCTGGTCCTTGCCTACAACCTCACCATGCACATCACCATGGTTGAGAACCAAGGATCCGAGGTTGACCTCGATGGTCAGATCGACGATGAGGACTCCAAGTACTACGGTCGTACTGTCGCCCCCGTCATGATCAACTTCCAGATCAAGTGTGCCCTCGCCGACATGTGGCGTGAGTTGCAGAAGGATATTCTCGAGGAGCTCTCTGCCCTCTACTCTGGTGTCTACAGTGGTGAGAAGATGAAGAACTGGCCTACCATCTTCATGATTGCCTCCATCCTCCTTGCCGTCTGGGAGGAGATGCAGTTCGATTGCCACTACCGAGTCCCCGACCCTGTTGCCGTCAACAAGTTCTGCACTGATATGGAGACAACACCTGTTGGTGTTATTGTGGGTCTTTTCCACGCCATCTCCCAGAAGCTCCCTGCCTTCACCGACTGGGATACACGCAAGCATGGCCACCTCCTCCACAACAACACCTCGGTCTGCGAGGCCATGACTGAAGTGAGACAGCACGTCATCAAGCACGGTATGTACACCTTGACAGTATTGTTCTTATATCTTGTACTAACAACCCATCGCAGAGGCTTATCTTCGTACCCGCAAGGAGTCAAAGTTTGACCGCTACGACTTCGACTCCCTGTCCAACAAGTTCCTCTCGAAACTTGTTATCCGGGCCAACTAAGATACTGCTACTCAAGTCACGATGCTATGACACTGTCAAAACATATGATAAGGTCCCATAGGAGCCTTCTTTTCCTTTGTTGCATTTGTTTTATCACAGCGAAAGCGTTGACAAGGCCTTTTCAATCTTGGTCAACAACGACCCCAGATTTGTCCTTTTTGAGCATACGAACATGACTCTTAACATTCTATCACGGCTGGTCACCGCCCGACAACACGAAGCTACCTGACACGGGAAAATGTGTTATGACCTTCTTATGACTTTCTTCTATGATTGTATGACTGAAGAAGACAGAGCGTTTAGTTCTTTTTATCATATTTTATTGTTTTATTGTTTTAAAGTCTTGGAGAGAGAGAAGAACGACCGTACCATACAGATGATAGCGAAACTCACCCATTTAGTGGTGTTATTACGGGATCATGTTTGATGATGTGGCATTTGAGGAATGATTGAATTCGCATGGCTGATAAGGCCTATATGGGAGGTGTGTGTGATTTACAGAGTCTTTGGAGGGCGTTGGTGAGCTCAAGTGGGCTGGACTCGCGACAAGCAGAGTGCGACGTCGACGACGAAGAGCAGAGTAGAGCGAATCGTGTTTTATATTTTAGCAGTTTGTCAAAGGGATATTGGGATAGTTACAAAAAAGGCTCTATGCTTGGCAAGTGCTACAGAGCTACCACAAGTATATCGAATGGAATTTTTAAACCCTTGAAACTTGAATCTAAAATGAACAGAAGCTATGAATCTGTGACCAGCCCATGATCATGATATCTCTGAACGGTTAGATAACTAATGCTAGGGGCCACTCAAGGGTAGGCAAGAAAACTTGGGGCTATTATCTTAGTGATATCATCAAGGCTACTCCATTCCTATAATGTTCTGCCTGAATCATTGCAAGTTACATTTTCAGAAGCTTTTGAGACATGTCTCACTCGACACCAAGATATTTCCTAATCCAGGCGCATATTTGCAACGGCTGGAGGGGAAAGCGAAAATTACAGTCAGCCATAGCATTAACTGAACACCATGGCTGTTTGGCCGGACCGATGACATTGGACACCCTCCGGCATTGTCGAGCCTCGGGGGGCAAGAAAACTCAGACCTAAATATAAGGTATCAAAAATGAACTCAGTAAAATATATCCTAAACTTATCCTAAATTACCTAAATTTTTTTATCATTTAGGATCAAGGTCATGAGTTTTCTTTCCTCCCCTAGTCGAGCTATCACGAAATCGGGGGTCTGCGTGGTTCACGAGGTTCCTTGCCTACACCACAAAGGCGGGGTCATGATAAGACGCCATGTTGAGCAACAATTGTTTGAGATAAGCTCATTGTTAGCTTTGATAACGAATCGAACGAAACAGTGAGACGATTGTTCCGAGATGGAAGCAACGAGATCACTATAACTGGAAATGAATGCTTTCGAATCCAAGGCATTACCATTGATTCAAACTCGAAACGTTACCAGCCTCGTTGTGTTGCATGAGTCCAAAAAGTTGATGCGAACAGGGTAGTCGTTGAGACAGGGTCCTCACGGGCCAGAATTGATGGCTGATGACGTCGCGAGCACCGACAAGACCGGATTCAGCGGGCGGCAGAAGTCGGTGACCCCCGGGACATTTGATCTGGAAGGACTGAGAGGTAAGGCGTCAAATTTTCTACTGTGAAAATTCAGCATTGCAAACGGCAAGTGAATCGAGTGCTCGACTCTTTGATGCCAGAGAGGTGTCCGTCCAGGTACACCAAGTCCTCCCGTCTCTGATAGTGGTGCTAGACCTACTCCGTATCCTGTCAAATCCACTTTGAGTTATCTCGGCGTGTTGATCCAGAGGTTCACCATCGGTTCCTGAGTCAAAGGCTTGGTCATTGAAGCTTTAGGGAATGATCACCTGCGATCTCCCAGGAAAGGCCTGAATAATTAGCCATTCTTTTTAGACAAATTTTTTATGGTCGAATTGCGTCTGTTCGAGACATCCAAACATGCATCGCTTTTTGTCTTTCCCGGGGTAAAGTGGCGACATGCCCGCTCCAGGCTCCGCCACTCCGCTCTCATGCATCCTAGCGCTAGACCGTGGATATCTGCTGATGTGGTGAATCACGGTGAGATGGTGAATGCGACGGTAATGGATAAGTGACTGCGTCGGTCCACGGTAGACACGCTTTGAGTTGTGAGTTAAAAGGTTATTGTAGGCACGTCAGATAAAGACTTGTATTGAACTTAGGGCCAAGGTATGCTTTTATATTTCTAAGTGCTTCGAGATCACCCTCGAAGATGCTAGAGCATGAATGAACAGATAAACATCCAAACACCGCTCCTGACATCAGTCAGACGTCCAGCCTTTGCGAACCTTCCATTGGACCCACTTTACGGGGATAAGTGATAGGTCTCGAGTACTTTGTCACAAGCAGTAAGGTTGCGCAAAGAGAAAGTATCTACAACTTACTGTGGCGCTCTGCAGCCTGGCCAGATTCTGGAGCCTTCCCTAGTCGCAACCGTCATTGGCTCTCATGAATCATCCGCCCCCGGAAGCTGCGCTCCTGCCTCCTGGGTTCCAGTGTCTGCCACGCTGCATTGCTGGTGCCGTTCGTCACTGGCAAGCGTAATCCAGTCACTGCGCCCCCTCTCGCCCGCCCGCTTGATTATCAAACAAACCTTTCCCCTCAGCAGGTACTTAAACCTCTCTCACCTCTTTCTAACTTCATCCTCTTTTCTTCTCAAAACATCTCTCACCCAAGACTTTACTTTCGCTCAAGACCAGCGATAAGAAATACCATCTCTCATCCGATCACCATCTATCCACATCACTTCTGCAATAGATCACCGCCATCATGCAGATCTTCGTCAAGACCTTGACCGGCAAGACCATCACCCTCGAGGTTGAGTCTTCCGACACTATTGACAACGTCAAGTCCAAGATTCAGGACAAGGAGGGCATCCCCCCCGACCAGCAACGCTTGATTTTCGCCGGCAAGCAGCTTGAGGACGGCCGCACTCTGTCTGATTACAACATTCAGAAGGAGTCCACTCTTCATCTTGTTCTCCGCCTCCGTGGTGGTATGCAAATCTGTAAGTTATATCGACCTCGTCGCCGCCACATGAGCTACTTCTAACAACTCCTCATAGTCGTCAAGACCCTCACTGGCAAGACCATCACCCTTGAGGTTGAGTCGTCCGATACCATCGACAATGTTAAGTCGAAGATTCAGGACAAGGAGGGCATCCCTCCTGACCAGCAGCGCCTGATCTTTGCTGGAAAGCAACTTGAAGACGGCCGAACCCTTGCCGACTACAACATTCAAAAGGAATCTACTCTTCATCTCGTCCTCCGCCTCCGTGGTGGTATGCAAATCTTCGTCAAGACCCTTACTGGAAAGACCATTACTCTGGAAGTCGAGTCATCCGATACCATTGATAATGTGAAGAGCAAGATCCAGGACAAGGAGGGTATTCCTCCGGATCAACAGCGACTCATCTTCGCTGGCAAGCAACTTGAGGATGGCCGAACTCTTTCCGACTACAACATCCAGAAGGAATCTACTCTCCACTTGGTTCTCCGTCTTCGTGGTGGCATGCAGATTTTCGTGAAGACACTCACTGGAAAGACCATCACCCTTGAGGTCGAATCCAGTGACACTATCGACAACGTGAAGAGCAAGATTCAGGACAAGGAGGGTATCCCTCCTGATCAGCAGCGTCTTATCTTTGCTGGTAAGCAGCTGGAAGATGGTCGCACCTTGAGCGACTACAACATCCAGAAGGAGTCAACTCTTCACCTCGTTCTTCGACTTCGCGGCGGCCAGTAAGCGATTGCAACGAACGGTGATGGATTTTATGATGGCGTTAGGGACTGGCAATGAATTCGAGATCAGGCAACTTCCAGGCCTGTCATGATTATTATGTAGTTTTTGCCCTCGCGAATATTCCGCAAGGTGCTAATAGACTAATGAAGTCTACTTGACTATTTGTCACCTTCTCTAACCCTCTTGTTAATTGTGATGTTCCGTGTGTTGCCATGTAAGTGATGTTTACGATGTGTGGAGTTGCCCCTCAGTTACCGGTTACTCCACAACGCAGCCAGGTCATGATGGGTGGGGCTGACACAGACCTCATGAGCCGCAAGTTGCAAGTTTAAATCTTTCCTCTTTTAATACTCGTGTACCCACCAAGTCAGGCCTCCTCTTCGTCGTCGTCATTGTCACACCCAGGCATACGATGATTTATAAGTATCGACCCCTTCACCATCATCTATTTTGGCCTCCTTAGCAACAAACGATACACTTCACTCTCTACCTAGACCAATCTGAGTTTGCGACCAAGACTTCGTGCATCTGTCTCAAGCGAGCGGTTCAGCCGCAGACTGATATACTAGGCTATGCCGTCTTACTTCTATCACCTCAAATTCGAGCTTTATCCGACTCCTGATCCGGTCGCTGCAACATCGGCAGCTAAAGCTCAAGACGAAATTTGGCTTCCGTCTACTGAAGCGACTGTCTTCGACGACTTTCCATCCCATCCGCGACCAGACCGACGAACCACTTATAAAGTATCGAGATCTATAGATCCCCAGCACGACTCGGCGAACCACGCAACTCCATATACTTTTACGGGGCAAAACTCGCCCTCGTCGAATCTCGGTATAATAGATTGTGGCGCAGCTGCGAGGCCATCGGTCAAAGACTCCGGGCGGAAAATCGAGATTGTAACCGAGAGACAGTGGCTCGAGCGAGCTAACAGCTTTCCGCCCCCGAACCCAAGTGTCGCGATACATCCGCATAACGCAGTTAGAGACTGGCGGTTTGGCCGTGTTAGCCTCGAGACGGTCGACCTTAGGACTGGGCACGCAATGGCAGGCGAGACGACCCGAAGCGGCCCTTCTGCGGCTCCTTCACTGGGCCCAACATTCGGGGGAGCTGGTACGGCGACAAAAGCCGAGTTTCTTCCCCTCGAGACAAAGAATACTGAGCTCGGCTGGGGAGTCGTACACTTTTACAGAGAAGAAGATGAGACTTCCGGGCTTATCGAAACGAACCATCAAGAAACTGAAGCAAGTGGCTCAAAGGATACCGACTGCACAACTCTTTGTATACCAGCAGTCCCTGCATATATGTCGCCAGGTGACCTGATGGGTTTTGTTGGAGAAAAGTGGAGGGGAGATATCAGTCATTGCCGTATGGTTATGACATCACGGATGAACAGATACCTTGTCTTGCTCAAGTTCCGAAACAATTTCCGGGCCAAGCAATGGCGGAGGGAGTTCGATGGAAAGGTCTTTAATACTGTGGAGGTAAGTGGCCAAAACATCCAGTTTCTCTAAGCCTATCTCTAACAATGATACAGCCTCAAATCTGCCATGTAGTTTTTGTCAAGAGTATAACATTCGAAACACCAACACGCAGAAGATCGAGCGCAGCTCTTTCCCCCTTATCCTCGCCCGCTGGCATGTCAAGCAGTCTCAGACCGTTTCCTCCACCGACACCGAATCTTGTGGAACTGCCAACTTGCCCTGTCTGTTTGGAACGCATGGATGAGACAAACGGGTTGATGACAATACCATGCTCTCATGTGTTCCACTGTACATGCCTTCAAAATTGGAAAGGTGCTGGATGTCCTGTCTGTCGATTCACAAACACCTCACCCAGCTCAGAATCAGACCCTCCAGGGCCTCATTCAAAGCCATTTGGGTCTGGGGTCTCGAATCTCTGCAGCATCTGCGACTGCGCAGATGATCTATGGATTTGCTTGATTTGTGGCTACGTGGGCTGTGGCCGATACAAAGGTGGCCATGCAAAAGATCACTGGAAAGAGACAGCCCACTGTTTTGCTCTGGAGCTGGAAACACAACATGTCTGGGACTACGCTGGAGACATGTGGGTTCATCGCCTGATACGAGATAAAGGTGATGGGAAGGTTGTTGAACTTCCTTCGAGAAACAGGTCAGTCGGCCATCTGGAGGAAGAGGATGTTGTTCCTCGAGCCAAACTGGACAGCATTGGTCTGGAGTACACGCATCTTGTCACGAGTCAACTGGAATCTCAAAGGGCGTACTATGAAGAACTGATCAGCAAGACTGTCGATAAGGCCTCGAAAGCTTCTGCCGCAGCTGAGGAAGCTGCAGCACAAGCCTCAAGGGCTATGGAAAAGCTGACAGTGCTCGACGAAAAGTATACAACCCTGAGCCAGGAAACAATACCAGAGCTAGAGAAGCAACTTGCTCGGGAGCGCAACAAGGCGAGCAAGAGCGAAGCATTAGCACGCAACCTTGGCAAATCTCTCCAAGAGGAAAAGCGTTTGAACGAGGGACTGATGAAGCGGATTGAGCATCTCAACAGCGACCACGAAGCGATAGTAAAAGAGTTGGAGAAACTCAAAGGAGAGAATGCCGACCTTCAAGAGATGAATCGGGACCTGAGCATGTTTATATCGGGGCAGGAGAAATTGAAAGAGTTAGAGAATGAGGGTAAGATTGAGGAGGGCGAGTTAGAAGGCGGCAGCGCAAGTGTGCCAGAGAAGAAGAGCCGGCGACGGGGAAAACGTTGAGTGCTCAAGATTACTGGACTAGAGCTGGATATTTCTCAGCGTTGTTTTTGATGAATTCGAGTTTGCAAGGCGTGGGAGGACGTTTAATTATCTATAGTGCTAACTACCTAATACCAATAACAACTTTCAGGCATCATGACAGCAGGTAAGGTATGGTGAAAAATGGTATCTACCCCCCAAGTCTATGACCAGAGATGAATAATGGCAGTAGTTACGGCATAACGCATCAAAGTTGCATATTGAAGCAGGGATTTGGGGAAATGTGTGTAACATTGTGCAGCTATACCTTACCCAACCCAGCATCCCGTCTATTCTCTTCTATTGAAATCTGAAGATCCTTTCGGCCTCGGGATGAGCAGACGGTCTTACGGGTTGAGAGGCACGGCAATTTTATAGGTACTACCCAAGCTTTATAGTGCACACCCCTCGTTTTGATGGTGCATGCATTAGAGGTCTCAACTGCATTGAGACCACTTGATTTGGCATTTTTTGTTGGGACTTGGATAGTCATAGATAGACAAGATTAACGCCAACCAGATTCTACTTGTTTTCAACATATTTTGATCTCTAAATTTTGTGACTGTAATGAGGGAGACTCCGACAAAGAGTCAACAATTAACATGTGAATACAGGTGCACGGATGCGTTTTCCTCTTCCTTGCTAATGTTTCTCGGAAATTCGCAAAGAGAATTCGGTAAAGGACCCATATGAAGAGGCACTGTAGCGTGATGCAGCGGATGGTTCCGGGGTTGAGCAAACTATCAGTGGCTGGGGTGGTGACGATAGTGGTGTGATGAATTAACTTGTGATTGATTGATGGATAGGTGACTCGGGTTTGTGATCTCTCGGCAGGGCAAAGTGGGCAAAGGGACGACACATATCTTTGTTCTTGATGCAATTCAAAGACGGCCTCCTGGAGATTGAGGCTCTTGACAGTAAGATATTGCTGTACTGTTCATGCAGAACCGTTATTTGTGGCTTGTGACCGACATGCTCGGGTTAAACAATGTCTTTGATGCCATAATGATTGTGCAAAAACCCTGGTGCTCCTTTCAACCTGCACCATCCCCGTACCGTACCGCACCGGATCTCCGATATAAGTGGAGTGATGATAAACAGTTTGCAAGGGCAAAGCGCCGAGTGCGAGTACGTGCGGGTTGGTACGGGGTTTGCGCCGCAGACTATAGTCTATAGGGCTTGGAAGTATATATCCTCGGTCGTCAGAAGGGATTGCAAACGGGTGATTGTAACTAAAAAGGAAGCTCGTAGACGATAAAGACAGTCAGTGCAGCAACAACAAAGAAAGAGGAGCCAATTGTGATGTGCCAAAGAGATATGTCAAGTGCCGTGGTTTTTAACTCATCCTATGAAGATCATAGCTTGTCAGCTTTAAAACCAGCCTTTCCTTACTGGGCAGACACCTCTCCCTCCATCACTAAGTTACCTTCCCCTCCTTCAGGTGCAGTACAGTACCTACATTCTGTTGCCAACCCCAGCAGCCCCAGCTGTTTCTCCATTTCCATTTCCATTTCCATTTCCATCTCCATCTCCATCCTGCATCTTCTTCCATAGGTGCCCTTCACCCTTGTCGTTCCAGGAATGCAAACCTCTCTCTAGAGCCAACACCTTCGACTATTTGTATATATTATATCTTGTCATATTACCTCCCGTCTGACCGTCCAACCTGCGTTCGCTCCATAACTGAGGCCCGCCGCCCCTCACATCGATTCCAACTCGCTTGTCTAGCTCTGTCGAAATTTTTATTGTACAACATCTATCCACAGCTCGACTTCGAAATATCCTTTCGCGCAACTGCTTCCGTAACGCTGGGCTCTCCCTCGCAAGCCCGTAATGTCTAAACATGCTGGGACAAAGGACGCGGCAGCGCCGCAGTCCGCGACGAGCCCAACCCCGCAGAAGGAGCTCTATCCCATGGTGAACTGGAAGTACGATATGTTCCTGTATACCGTTGGCAACATCGTCGATATGTTCTTCCGAGAAGTTGTGCCTCGAGGTGCCTGGCGTGTTCCTCAGACTGGCCCTGTTCTGTTCGTTGCCGCGCCACATGCCAATCAGGTTAGTTGTGCATAATCTGGGGGAGCTCGTGGTTGAAGATAGAGCGCACCAGGAATATGTTGTACAAGACAAGACCAGCTACTGACCTGCATTAGTTCGTCGATGCGATTATTCTTCAACGTACCCTCCGTAACGAAGCCAAGCGCCGAGCATCCCTCCTCATTGCCCAAAAGTCGGTTCACGGCTTCAT